TTTAACCCAGTATATCCAAAATGTTATCATTTCAACATGTCATCGATATTTTTTAAATCATCGAGATATTCTATGTCTTTTTTTTTTTTTGCTAAGTCTTTGAAATCTGGTGTGTATTTCACACTTACAGCACATCTCAATTCAGACCAACCACATTTCCAGTGCTTTGTAGCCACACATGGCTGGTGGCCACCATATAGGACAAGACAGTTCCAGGCTACTGGGCTCAAAACTTGGACCACTCTGGGTCCCTTCTCTTTTGCATCTTATCCAATCTGTCCCCAAATCTTACATTTTCTTTCTTCCCATCGTTTGCGCCATATGTTTCTTACCCAAGCCTGCCGTCACCCGCCTGGTTCAGCTTCATCACTTTGTGTCGCATCATATTAGCATGGCAGCAGAGTTCAGTGGGCTGGCCTTGGAGCTCTCATCATATCACAGCAGCGACAGGGAGAGGACAAACCCTCCCAACCCACCTGCTGACACTCATTGCAGGTGTCTGTGTGCATTTCTGGAGATAGAGTTGATGTGCAATGTGTCTGAACCTGAATGTTTTTCTTTCCAATTCTAGACAAAGAAAATACTGTGGGTCTTGGTATAAGAGGCCCCTTCTAAAGTGTGGGGCTCCATGCATCTTGCTGAGGTGTGTTGCACTTGGTGGTGTGATAGATGTCTGCTGAGTGTTACTATGGCATTATGACAAGGGAATTTTTAGGCATAACAGAAAAAGGTAACTTCTAGGGAAAATATGAAGCTGGTCTTCACACTCTAAGTCTTTCCCTCTGCCCCCCTTCTTCCTCCCCCTGACTTTTCCATATGCTCCCTGGGTCCCACAGGGTACCTGCTTGGCCCTGCCCTCTGAGCACCACCCAGCACCCCCTGCCAGTTCTTTTCCCCAATAAAACTTATCCGTGTTGTGGCTAAGTCCTTCGAGGTCCTGCTTGAAGGTGTTTTCTGAGAAACTAATCCAGGTGAGGGTACAACAGCTGCTAATAGTTTACTGCGTTAACTTCCCAGAAACATTGACTTTTGGACTGAGGCCATCAGTGACTCACCTGAGGAGTAAACAAAATGGGAATTTGAGGCCCTATGGCAAGGTCATTGGGGAAGGTGTTTTAATTGGGAGCTTAGTTCTCTGTCCTGCAAATTTCACTGCAGAGTCATTTACTGTCTTGCAGAGGAAGGCGGGCCTGAGTCAGCTCTGTAATGGACCGCGCCACGGTCATGTCCCTCCATCACCTCTACGCTGACTGTGCTAAGCAGTGGCTTCCCCACATCAGCTGGGAGGCATGACTTTTGGCCTAGTTTCCACCAACTAAACAATATATAGGCTTTGGTCAAATTATCTGTACATTTCAGAAAAACAATTTTTTTAAACATCTGGGAATAAGCTGTACGTTTGTCCAAAATATTTGTGTATTTTGGCCCCAGATTTTCTTCTTGCCTTTCCTACCAAATATTGGCCGTGGAGGATCTGCGTACTGCTCAGTGTGGGAATGCATCCCTCACCTGAAGGTGCAAGATAAGGGCAGAGGATTTTCTACCAGCTTAAGGAATGGCCTGCCTGTTGACCTTCCTGTTGCCTTGGAGACCAGCTATGCAAATAGAGCTCTCCCGTCTGCTGCTCTGGGGCAGCAAACATTGCCAGGATGCCTGGATTTGCATGTGTGACATGCCTACACCCACGTGGACAGGACCCGGGCAGTCCCTGCACTCACAGTGCAGGCGTTGGCAGCGTCCCTACTCGGCCGCTGGGAACAGGTTGGGTTGTTGGGTGCAGGCTCTGTTCTTCCCACTTTACAGTCATCCAACCAGCCATTCACACTGAATGAGGGCAAGAGAAGAGCCAGAGGAGCCTGTTGGTCACATGATGAACATGAAGTGATATTTTTAGCTGAAATGTTGGAATGGAAGGATTTTCCCAGAGGCTGAAGAATGAAAGTTCTTTTTGCAGACGGGCAATGGCTAATACTTAGTGAGGACTTAGCATGTGCCAAGGC